GGAATGAGACATGTAGTCTCGGCCTCCACCAAAGGTGTAACCTTTACACCACCTTCTCTCCGAGAAGTTTATCACCAGGCGCCTTCGCGCCTCTCCCATGCTCACCGGGAGTAAGAACGTTTCAGATTTTTTGTTAGGTTACACGAAATCCTCTTGGCATGCGGAGGTAGGCACAATTTTGATCGCTTTTTTCGCCAATTTCTCCTTTCAGCTGCTCGAACACGCAAAACATAACTCACCCGGAAATGAATTCCGTACCTTACTTAGATTTCTCTTTCAATCCGTTCAGGGCAGCTGTAGCAACGGCCTCCTAGTTGTGCTTCGTCCAGCCACGATCCTGCGTTCTTGAGCTCCACTTGGCTAGTTTGATTCTACGAGATACGAGATTGCGTTCTTATTCCCTGTTAGAGCTAGCATGACAGTCAGAACGAGACTTAGCTTTCATTATCTTGCCAAGTCAGTTGTTACATGGTACATGGCCTTGCATATGAACATGAACCTTGCTTTTGAAACTGTACGGAGAGTGTGGGCCCCAGCCAGCCCCCTCCATTTGTCCATGCAATCTGCTTCTGCTAATCTGCCTCATCTATACTACCCGCACAAATACATGTTGTGTGTATTGTCGGTACTACTTTTTCCTCTTTAACCGAAAAGATCCGCTAAGCTTTAAAGTACGGGACATGAGGTTTTTAATGGCCGGCATGATGCGCATCATGTATCTTGTATGAGGTATGCACTTCGACATTCTGGTTGGTCTCTTGTTTTCTCTCCTAGGTCCGGATGCAACAAGCACGAGACCGTAATTTAGGAAGCCTAGGCTCTGATTCAGCTAAGAGGTGGAGACTTGAGGGCTAGGACCTCAACTACTTATTGCAGCTACAGTCCGAGCGGCCTCGTCGAAGCAGCTTGCCTTGGAGACGCCGATAGGATTTGAAATTCAGACGTTGGGGAAGAGATAGTGATGTCAGTACACACATTATATATGATGTATGCCATGAGAAGCCTATGGCCCAGGTGGCTACGGCGTTTAAAAGAGAACATCTTACAATCTGCTGAATCTCAATCGATTATAACGCGTCTACAGCGTCTATACCTCAAACACTCACCATCAGACCATTCGGGCAAGCTACGGATATCCCAACAAGCTCAGCGCACATCCCTCTGGCACAAGTGCAACACTCTTGGAAGACTGAGAGACCGTGATTGAGTGATAAGGACTCAGTACCCTAGCACTGAGCGGCCCGTGCTCGGCAACTTAGCCTGCGAGACATCAACCATCAATACGCTACGGTGCGCTTGATTGTGAAACGTTCTTACTCCGTGTGAGCATGGGAGGGGCATGGGAGAGGCATGAAGGCGCCTGGTGATAAACTTCTCAGAGAGAGGGTGGTGAAGAGGTTACACCTTTGGTGGAATCCAGAGACTACATGTCTCATTCCCGCTCCCTCTTGGGAGTTGCATCTTTGCATGCATAATCTCATGTGTATGATATTATGAGTCGCAGACTTGCAGCCCATGCACATGCATAGACCCCGACGGTATGCCCGTTTTGGATTCAACCAAATCCGGGGCGTGGTTGAAGACACTTTTGCAACGACTGCGCGAACGGCGACATTTTGCCGGCCATCAGAATTTTGAGCGAATTTACGGGCCATGCAGCCGCCAGGTTGGCCCCACGGACAAAAATCATCAAAAATTTTAAAATCTGCTGATACACAAAGTTTTCGGACTAATAGAAAAGCTAAAATGCATGTTTACTGTATAAGCTATCTCGTATATGCTTATAGCGGCTAAAACAGCCCCGAAATATCTAAAAATATCAATTTCCCGGTTATTTTACCACCCGGGCTGATTTCTACCGGGTACAGCCGCTGCGCCGCCAGGCCCCTTAACCTCCCAGCCGCCGGGCACTTTTGCCAGCCGCGAGGTCCCCACCCCGCTCAAGTAATTTAATGTCGGCGTTCGTGCAGTGATCGTAAACGTGCCAATTTAGAGACCACGCCCAGCCATCCGACGGCCAAACTGGCTCAGGGTGTAACTCGCGGCGGCACTGCGCGTTAATGACACAAGTCCGCGCGACCCGCGAGCGCGGCTATCAAGGGATTCCCGCGATCTGGGCTCGGAATAGTAGCGCCGTTACAGATTGTGACTGCTATTGACGCCGACCGAGTCAGTGATGACCCCGGCCCGACCACGGTTTACCGTCGGACAGAGTCATGCTTTCGTATAAAGTCTTTACCGTACATGGAACTCCGACAGTGAGGTATTTGAAGCCCGTTTCGTCTGCCGGTAGCGGTCGGCCGGTACGAATCAATGAATCAAGCCTGACTCTGGCAGATGATTGGTGATACGTACGATGCTACAAAACTGTCATTACTTCCGAAGCATAACCTCGACCAGGTCTATATCCGACGCCGTAGCGCCTCGTAGCGTGGTGGCGTGACAATCAACCGTATCTGGCCTTCATTTCCGCTAGATATCAAAACCCTAGAGGTGGATGTCGGACGGTTCGCAGAGTCCATGCGTGATCTCAAAACCCATTCGACAATTGCAAAAACGTGAACGATCGTCTACTGACTCAGCGGATCCGGATGACGTGGAGGCTGGCGACTTGCCGGCAGCTGGCAGAACTCCACATAAAAGGAAGGGGTTGAAGAGTTGGCGGCTGGTGGCTGTCGAATTTGAAAAATTCTCAAAAAGTTGCGGAGTTCCGACGACAGTGGTGGCAAAAAACATTTTTGCTCGAAAATCGAGTCGGCGTTTTGAGGTTCGTGCATGGTTATCGCAAGTATACTATGAGATGACGTGGGCTCTACCATACTGTAGCACGCGTACCAAGCGTAGGTTTTGAACATTAACCGTGCGGACATGGAGACTGCCCGAGCCGTGGAAATCGTCCAAATCCATTTAAACATACGCAATTGATTGCGCCATTGGCCCCAACCGCAACCACACGTAGACGGGGTGTCCGCTTTTGCCAAGTTGTGCTACCACACCAACGCCAAATACGGGCTTCTTGAATCCATCCACTTGGCTACAAGTTGCTATTGTGCGCGGCACCATCGGAAAAAAGCCCGGGTCACGCCTAGGCCTAACGGTCTATGGTGCCGCACCTTTTGCATGCTATCACTCTAGTGCCGGAGCGCCGCCGCTGGGGCGCCGAAGCGTTTCGTCACCGCTCAGTGTCTGCCGCGCGGCAAGTTCTTCGCGGCTCGGTAGTGACCCCGGTCCCTGCGCAGCACGCAGCAATGCCGGGCGGCAGTCGTGTTTGCCGACCTGTCCGACGCCAAACATCCCCGGCCTGCCGCGGCTGTGCGTGCTCTGGGCCGTGACCGCCGATTGCTTGCCGGTGGAGTGCCGATAATGCGTCCGCGGCGCAGCGGTTAGTAGTGCCGCTAAGTGCCGCGGGCGCGCGTTCAAGCTGTGCGGACTGTTGAAACACGGCGTTATTTGGAATGAATGATCGAATGATCAAATTCACACAATACATCGAGTCTTCGGAGTCTAGCGGCGCTAAAGCTATGCAGTTTGTGTGCTATGCTAGACTCACTCAAGTAGAGTCACACTTCTAGTCTAGGTCTACACTAGTAGCCTAGTAGGCTCAGTTGACCGCGAATTAAGCAAGTCCGAAGATCTCGCGCAAATCTGAATATCTACGGCTATTATCGAATTTACTCATTACGGCGGTTATCTCAATAAGTCATTCGGTCCCCATTCGGTTGTAACGCTGTAACCTGCGCGCATTTAACCGCCAGTCGCTAAGTACTGGTTATCGTCGAGTTCCCGTCGACGTCACCCAAGAGATCGCGCACATCAAATGCCCGAATCTCAACACTCCCCCACACACTAATGACATATGCAATTCCTATCTCGCTCTTGCACTTCTTTAATTTCCTCGCTGCTAACGCCTTGGTCATGATGTCCTCCTTCATGTCCTCCGTCCCGCAGTACGCGAACGCGACCTCCTTGCGTGCCACACGCTCCCGTGCAAAGTGATGAATCACGTTAATGTGCTTCGACCGCTGTGAAGCGATTGGGTGCTTGAGGAGCCGTATTGCCCCTTGGTTGTCGCAATAAATCAGGACCGTCCCGAGGTCCAACTCAAGGTCTCCCCCGAGTCCGCGGAACCACTACGCCTCCTTCACCGCTGCGCTTATATACTCCGCCTCTACAGTCGAGGCCGCCACCGTTGGCTGCAGCGTACTCGATCAGCTCACCGCCGCCCCATACATCAAGAGGACGTGCCCCGTTGTGGATCGCTTTGTGTCCACGTCACTCGCGTTATCCGCGTCGCAATAAGCGATGAGAGTCTCTCCGCTCCCCCCAAAGGTTACCCCGTCCTCTGCCGTAATCGCTAGGTAGCGCACAACTCCAAGCGCCGCCCGCCAGTGCTCCTCCGTCGGCCGGCCCCGCCATAAAGCGCGCAAGCGCGCCAACTGCCTGTGCAATGTCGGGCCGAGTGCACACACTCAGGTACAAGAGTCTTCCCACGCACTCACTGTAGGAAACCGCTTTTTGACGAGGGGTTCACCTTCTTTGGTTAATTTGTCCCCCGTTCCGAGAGGGACTGAGCGCGCCCGAGCGCTCGCTAGTCCGTACCGTCCAACAAGCTCACCCGTCAGCTTCTTTTGCGTCAGTTTCAGAGTGCACGCCTCCCTATCGCGCGTCAACTCCATGCCGAGAAAGTTTTTCGCCTCTCCCCGGTCGCGCACGTCGAACTTCTTCCCCGAACGCGCCTTCACTTTGGCAATGCGCTCCGCTCCCCGGGCTGCCACTAGGATGTCGTCCACCCACAGCACTCTGTAGACCCACACCACTATGTAGACCCGCTCCCCGACTACTATTCCGTGAAGAGCACCGCGTCCGCATTACTAATGCCACAAACTCAAAGTTCCCGAGCTCCTCCTTCAAGCGCATGTGCCATGCTCGCGGCGCCTGGCGCAACCCGTACAAGGTGCGCTTGAGGTGGCAAATCACGTTGGGCCCGCCTTGATCGTATCCCTGCGGCTGGTGCATGTAGATCTCCTCCTTCAACTTCTTTGAGGAACGCCGTCTTGACGTCCAGCTGGTGCATCTCTAAGTCGCGCTCCGCGACCCACGGCCAACAATGCACGCAATGTGGTGTCCTTGCTCACCGGGGCGTAGACTTCCTCAAAGTCAATTCCCTGCTTCTGGAGGTGCCCTTTTGCCACCAGCCGGGACAAGTTGTACCGCTCCACTGCATTTCCGAGAGCGTCCCGCTTTATCTTGTAAACCCACTTCATGGGAACCGGCTTGACCCCTTCCGGTTTTCGACGAGCTCCCATGTCCCGTTCTCCAACAAGGACCGCATCTCCTCGTCCCTTGACTTCCGCCATAGTTCACTTTCTTCTCCTCCTACGGCTTCCTGATAAGTCTGCGGTTCTGCGTGCTCCCCCGTCCCTTTGGGGTGCTCCCCCGCCTGCGGTTCCGCCGCTAAGTTAGCGCGGTACCACTCCCCCGGTGCGCGTCTTTCGCGCGCGGGGAACCTCTGGGCAGCCGGTGTTTGCATTCCGATATCCTCCTCAATTTCTTCCGGCTCTGCCCTGGTCTCGCGCACAGTTTCAAACTTGCCCTCATTTCGGCCCGTTTGTGAAAGCGCGCGGCCGCGGATCGTCGGGCGCGCGCGCGGCCGCGTCGCCCTCGCGCGGAGATTCAAGTTTTGGCCCCTCATGGGCTTCCGTGTGAACCTATGCGCCGGGACCCTCCGCCGTCTGGGAACCGTCCGTGGGGTCGGAGCCAAGCTCGACAATCCCATCTCCCCAGATCCCCTCGTCAAAGATGACGTCTTGGAAGATGATTTACTTCCCGTCACGGTCCCGGAGCAACCTATACGCCTTCGAGTCCGGCTCGTACCCCACGAACACACATCGCTCGCTCACCAGATCTAGCTTACGCCTCCGCTGTTTGGGGACATGGCGGGACGCTCGGGCCCCAAAAACCTTTATATGCCCGACATTCGGCTTTTCACCGAAGAAAACTTCCCATGGAGTCCTCCCATGGGCGCTCACGGGCGTCCGGTTCCGGGTGTAGTTGGCCGTCACCACGGTTTCCGCCCACAACTCTTTGGCCAACCCCGAGTCCTCAAGCATTGCTCGGGTTTTCTCCTCAAGATCCCGGTTAAGCCGTTCCGCCGACCCACTCTGCTCGGCGCTACAGGGGGCAATTTTCTCGTGGACTGTCCCCTTGCCCCTGAAGACGTCTTCAAGGGCCTTGTTGACGTACTTCTTGCCCCGGTCCGTCCGCACCGACTTGAGCTGCTTTTCGCAACTCCAACCGGTTGATCACGTGCTCTGTGATCTTGGCCACCTCGCTCTTCTGCTTCATGGGAACTACAACCGAGAGTTTGCTGTAGTCGTCTAAGAACATAGCAAAGTACCGGCTTCCTTCTACCGAGGCTACCGGCATTGGCCAGCAGACGTCCATATGGACCAGTCCGTGCTCACCGAGTCGGATTCCGGGAAGGGGAGCCTAGTTTGCTTCCCCATAATGCAGGGCTCACACACCGAGGTTTTAAGCGCTCTAAACGCACTCGGTTCCACCCCGACCCCTTCCACAAGGTCGTCTGCACCATCTTCGCCAAGTTTTCGTACCCGGCGTGTCCCAACCGTCGGTGCCACAATTCCGCCGTTTCCGGCTTCTTCACAAGGAAGCACGTGTCCCTCTCCGCCCGGTTGACCACATAGATCCCCTCACTTTTCGAGCGACAAAACTACCTCCCCGTCAACCTCAAGCTCGCAGTTGCCGTTCTCCTTGAACAGCACTGACGCAACCTCGGTGGCCTTTGCTCACCGAGATTAAATTCACCGCCACCCCCGGGACGTACATCACGTTTTGCAGAGTGACGAGACTTTCTCCGCTCGGTGTCGCACACCGCAGCTCTACCGAGCCGCTCCCCTCTGCCCATAGGGTTCCCTTGTTCCCGAAAATGAATTCTCGGCCACTCCCCCGCAACATTTCGAGGCTCTCAAATAGGCTTTTGTTCCCGATTAGATGTTGGGAGCTACCCGAATCGACGAGCCAATCGTCGGTCGACACCCCTTCAATGACGCTAAAGGCCACACCCTTGGGAGGTTTTCCCCCCTTCTTCCGCTCCGGCTTGTGCTCCCGCCTATCCGGCTTGCTGCAATTCCGGGCAATGTGACCGAACTCCCCGCAAATATAGCACTTGGGACCCTTGCCCCGGCTCTCATCCTTGCCGTGGCCCTTCTCCTTGCCCCCTTTCCGCCCGGCCACATAGGCCACAGCGGAGTCCGACCCACCGCCGCCCTTTTCCGTAGGCGACACCTCAAACCCCTGCTCATGCACCAAGAGCTTCGGCAGAACCGCATCTACCGAGCTAATGGCGCTCTCCGAAGCCTCTAGGATTGTTCTCAGGGTACCAAACGACTTGGGCAATCCCGCAAGCACGCTCCATGCCAACTCATCCGGCTTCATCTCAAAACCGGTGGCGACCAAGTCCCTATACAAATCCTTTGCCCGACCCACATACATGGTCACGAGCTCACCCGACTTCATCTTGAGAGAATGCAACTCGACCGCGTTTCGATAGCCTTCCCGGATTTGAGAAGGTTTTCGACTTCGATAAGTTCTGAAGTTCGAAGAATTGACCGTTAGCCCGCCGACTCTGCCGGGGTGACGCCGAGTGACGCAAGTCTAGCCAGAGTGAGCTATCGCGATTCACGATAAAACTTGAAAGTTTTGGGAAAGTCCAATGTGAACCCGACCCAGTGGTAAACGGGCACCCGATGGCCGCCCGA